TGTACTTTTTTGTAATTCTTTTCACGAGCCTTGATGACAATCTTGCATTGATCTTTTTCTTTGAGAAATATTATCTTCACTTGTTTCTGAGCTCTCCAACGCCATCCCATCGGCCGAAAAATGTGCAGTTCTTCAGTAAGATCTTCAACTTTTCGTTTCAAACCAGTATCAGTTTCGTTGACTGGTATCAATGGTATTTCATTCTTCACTACAAGTTTTTGTCGAACACATAGTTCCGTTGTTAATACACGACCAGCTGATCCCGCTAAAGTTAATTGGTCGTCATGCAGTTCACAGTTGACACCATTGGATGCCAGCAAAAAGTCTTGGCTTTCTTTGATGTTGTCATTAAATAGTTTTATCTCTGTTTCACTCATTGGAATATTACGTTCGAGAGCCCTATCGAGCCAGTCAGATTGTATTTCACCAAGAAACGAAAGGATCGATCGAGCTCGAATATCCGATGAGATACGAATATCACGTGCAAGTATTAATGCAACCGGATTAGCACTTAGCTTACGTGCAAGTGTCGATGTAGAGTCGAGAACCGCTGTTTTCTGTTTTTCTGTTATGCCTGCAGCAGTATAACAAATGAACCGATGTTTTCTACCTTGGATCTCTGCAGCTGATAGATAAACATTGTTTGAATACCCATTAAGAAGCGCACGAGCAACCGGTTCCCAATATCCATTGGAAGAACACTGAGCTGCTGTACAATACTCATTTGGTGAACGAAAAAACTTTTCAAATAACGAATATCTTAAGATGGCACGTTTGATGTAATGTTTCATGAATGATAAGCCAGTCTCTTGACATACATTGTCGACGTTAAACGTACATGGCGGTTGAACTAGCTTTTTAGCAAGAATAGTATCCATCACATTAAGTAATGTCATAAAGTCACCCTCAACTTTCTTATATTTACGGGGAAGATTACGTAGAATAGAAGAGGTATTGAGTACACCGAGGATAGCTGCTAGCCGTAGAACATCTCGACCACATTTATAGTCTTTCAGTGCCGCTAAAACTGCTCGACTCATTTCAACGCTACCAAAATCAGGTAATTTAGAAATAGAGAGGCCAATTGACGTGAAATCTCTTTTCAAATCAAGAATATCAAGTTGATGTAATCGTTTTATGGCTGTATCAATAGCTTGTTCACTCGGTGCATTAGGTAGCCATTTCTTGAGATCATTGAGTCCACATTTCAATGGCAATCGACGAAGTGAGAATTCAATATTGCTTAATTCTGTTTGACATATCTGTGGTTCAGGAAATTTTTTGTTCTTAGGATCAAAGGTGTATAATGGATAGTATTCACCAGGTCGCGTTCGACCCAATCGTCCCTGACGTTGCTTTATAGTTGATTCAGCCGCATTCATCTCACGTAGCTCAGTTGAATCTGTCAATGGATCATATACAGGAATATGAATGAGACCAGTGTCTATTACATATTTAAGCGAGGGAAAAGTTAGAGATGTTTCGGCTACCGTCGTCGAAAAGAAGATTTGTTTCGTTTTAATGAGTTGCTGTTGTTCCATCGATGATTGTGATTGAATCAATGGAAAAGCTGATAATCCTTTCAATAGTTTCAATAACTTTATAGATTGTGTGACTTCGGTATTTGATTTAACAAAACATAGTATTTGTTCTTCTCTCTCGATTTGTTGATGCAATCGAGCAACTAAATCAATTAGATTCTCACTACAATACGAGTTTTCGTTGATACGATTCAGAGTCGACGTTTTTATTTGTATTTCATGGAATTTGAATTCAAAGAAGAGTTGTGCTATACATGGATTAAGAGTGGCTGATGATATTATGATTTTCAGTTTCGAATGTAAATGAGGATTCTTTTCGAGAAATCGAGCTAAAAATGCAAGGCACAAATCAATATTAATTGAACGTTCATGAACTTCATCGATAAAAAATACAAGTCCACGTTTGCTAGTTTTCAATTGATGGATTAGATATCGTTCACGATGTAATAAGTATTCTTTAAGTAATCCATCAGTCAAATAGAGTATTGGTGCATTCGAAAAATTGCTTGAACGTGCTCCTGACACTGCCCAACCACTTAACGTTGAACTTTTCATACTCGTGTTGACACGTTCGGATAAGAGATTGCACGGTAAGCGATGTGGCTGCGTCACTAATATTTTCTCGTAGCCATCAGCAGCGAGCAATGATGGCAAGAGACTTGATTTACCCGATCCCGTTGCAGTCGATATGGCAACGACCGTGTTTTGATTGATTTTTTCCAATAGATCAACTGATGAATCGAATAAAGGTAATTGCAATCGAAAACATTCAAGTATGATATGAATTCTATGAATTAGAGATGATAGTAACGAAAAATGATGAGATTCATGGCCAATATAGTCCTTAGAAGTTTCAAGCAATTCTTTTAACTTTTGTACATGTAAATCTAGAATTATCAAAACTAAATGTTTCAGATAATCATAAAAAAAATATATTACCTTTTGCTGTAATTGATGTATTCACACGTTGAATACCAGCTAAACATAAGTCCTCCGTTTTCATGAGGTATTGTTTTAAAGCATTTCGTTTGAGCTCTTCGACTAATGTCATGATGTCTTTTTTTTTCAGATACTCACTTGTTTCCATTCTAAGTCGTTTCCACCAATTGGAAGCGTTTCGGATCATATCATCAAGAATACTTTTTACCTTTTGACCAATGTAAACATCAAACTGCTGCTTGAATTCTTCACGCTTACGTTTGATTAACATTTCGAAAATTTCGACAAAGATTTTCCAATTCGCCATGTTGCATTTTATTTGTGCCTTACCCAATTCTTTAACGCTTCTCCTAAGAAATGATTCCACACAGTTAGTCAGCGTTTTTCTGTAATCATTTTGTTGCTTCTGTAGATGCCTAATGATCCATGTCGTTCGATAGCAAATAGCTTTCATCTCTACATGATGAACCGAATAAGCTTCTACAATCCATGAGTATGAGCTACTATTGGTTTGGCTTATTTCTTGACATATGTTTATCTTTTCCTCATGAGATGATGTTTTGCCCGAAAAGTTAAGTGTCTTTAAATATTTTTCCACTGTAGTCACTTGCAGTTGAATATTATCAGTAAATGGTATATCATATTTAATTACAATTAAGTCTTTCACTACTTGATCTTCTTTTCGACGTTGGTTTTCATAGAATTCAACTTTATTTCGTTCATTCTCTAGATCGCTTTCAAGATCATAGCATTTTTTTTAAATATCATCCAACTCTTTTAATTTCATTTTCAATACTTCTTCTTGTTCTTCATGATTCTTCTGCAACAATGTGAATTCGTCAGACAATAGTGAATTTCCAGATGTATCACATATTATGTTAAGTAGCTCATTTTGTTTTGAAGGTTGCATTTTCTTTTTTTCGATATCCTCTAGTTTTCGATGTTCTTCTTCAACTGTCTGTTGATATTGTTTCATGATAGCATTTAATCTATCAAGACCTTCTCGCTTCTTTTTAATATTTGTTCGAATTTCTTCTTTTTTGGCAGCATGATCATTCTCTGTATTATCATTATTGATCAACTCTGCATCCTCGTCATCCATTGATATTGTTTCATGTTCTTCCTTCAATACCGATGTCGGATTTTCTGAGCTTCTCTCATCTTTATCATTAGTATTATTATCGATTTTATCATTGTTCACATAAAGTCTAACATCCTCAGTTGCAACCGATTCATCTTTCTCATCAGACAAACTGATCTCTTCATTTTCTTGGCTATCAGCTGTTGCAAGCGTGCACAAAAGTGATTTTCTCAACGGTTCTGGTGGTTGATCCTGTCGAGAAATGTCTTGAAAATTGTCGATAGGCATAATTCGTTTCATTGTTCGATCGACACTAACAAATCTTGGTAACCATCGTATATATCCAGCTATTTTTCGGTTTACATCTTGGAAAGAAAATGATTCTAGATTGAAAGTGATTAATCCAAGAAGCTGAGTACGAATGGTGAGATACCGGAGATGTTGATTCATTGCTTCTTCAATTGCTGCGTTGAGAAACTCTTCGGCATTATACCATGAATTGAGGCGATAATCAAATTGATCAGAATTGAAAATAGTTGGAATGTCTATGCTCTTCAATTGTGGAGATTCTTTTTCTTTATCAACAACACAACCATGTTGTGTAAACATAATTTGCCATATGGATACAATATCGAAATTATATACACTCGATCCGCGACATCGAATCCATGCTTGATTTTCATTTACCTGTGTACTATTACCTGATTTGAGAAATCTTCTCATCGATACTGTATACATTTGATCTTCGACATTGAGAAAAATATCCAAATCTGACGTCTCTCTCAACGTTTTACACAGTATTTTAGATTCCTTTTCTGCAAATTTTTGCCAATCTAGTTGATGTAATGGCTTGAATTCCCAAGTACAGTTGTACTCAAGTAGACTTGTATCATATTTCAATTTTGATATCTCGTCGTCAATAGTCATCGTTGGTAAATCACAACTCCGAGATCCTTGTGACAAGTAGTGGAGGACGAAATGATTGCGAAAAATATCGAAAAGAGCCGGATTGTGCTTGGCAATCATAGTGGGCGTTTCTTCCTTTTTATTTTGCACATAACAGTTAGCACCTTTATGAAGAAGATAACGAACAATATCTGCATGCCCACTGCTACAAGCTATATGCAGAGGAGTATCCATATTTGCCGATGAATCGTTTTGATTCTGAGCATTTACAGAGCATTTTGCTTCTTCAATTAAATACTTCATAATTTCTAAATGATTATTCGCAGCTGCTACATATAATAGTGTGTATCCATTCAACAGAGGTTGATCTTTATGGGATGGGTTTTTAGAAAGAAACTCTTTAGCAATGCTAAGATTTCCACTTTGACATTCTCGACATGCTTGAATAGAGTCTATGAAGATAGCCAAGTTATGCGCAAATATCAAGAGATTGTCACTGGAAAGTACTTCAATGAAACTGTCACCATCAAAATGGAAATCATACAAAAAGTCAAGGAAGTAGTTATATGTCGTCTCGTCATAATTAGGTAAGTGACGTAATTGTTTAATATTGATTTGAATTTGGCTCGTAATATCAGTCAATAAAGTTTTTACCTCTTCCGATGGAGGAAATATACATAGTTCTTCACAATCGGTTGGCTCAGCGAATGTTGATTTATCATCGATTTTTTCCTCTTGATTGTCTATCTGTGTCGATTCTTTCACCTTCGTCAAACAGGATTGAACATCACTTAGAATTAAAGAACAAATTTTTGTAAGTTCCTCAGTGAATAGTGATAATGCCATAATCTAGAATTAGTGAACCAGCATTGTCCTTGCCTTCTAAAATATTACTCTCCTTTTGGGAAACACGAACTGCAAGGAGTATTGAAGTGTATACAGGTAGAAATTCGCACCCCCTCCCACCACCTCACAGACAGGGCGAGAAATATCACAGACCGCGAGAGAAGGATTCTAGAAACTCCCAGAAGCATCACAGACCGTAACAGACGAATTCTAGGATAGTTCGTGTTTCACATTTTTAATCCCAAAGCAGTTATGCTAACAGCTTTCTTTTTCTTGCACATTGCACGGCTTTTCATACTGCACACTTATAATATAATCTGGTGTTAGTAATAAGCGATTATGAAACAACCATCGATAGAGTTTAATGTAACCAGTTAGTTTAACTAAGAATTAAAACGTCGAGCAGCCATAGCTGGTTCAGTCGTTATGTAAAATTAGACAACGAAATACATTAATCTCTATCGAAAGTGTTGCAATTAGTTCTCGAGGCTATTGCATTTGAGTACGGTCTTCAATCTGTCACCATTACACTCCGAAATGTTGTTAGTAAGCAAATCGTTGTGCATTGCCATTGAAAGCAGTAACCATATATGTCCAACTTGAAACTTGAATTTAATTGAAAATTGAAATTTTCAATTTTCAACTTTTCAACCAATAGCATTCTGAAGAATGGTGACTCACACATATATCGTCATAAGTTGAAAGTTGAAATTTTCTATTTTCAACTGAATTCAAGTTTCAAGTTTGACACTACTGGCAGTAACGTAAACTTGTGCACTTTTATATCCGTGCGAGAGAGAAAAAAACAGCATGGCGTCTCACTTGGTTTTTTCCCACGTTTCTTCTAACAGTCTCATCAAATGACTGAATTGGGTAAATTTTGCAATTGCTTTAATGGTGAGTATGCCATTGATTCTTCCGTCGGCAGATTATCGATGCATTAGCGCATTGAAAACAATTTCCAACCTCTTTATAAGATGATTCTGAAGTTTTTGTCATAAACTGAGTTGGAAAGAACAGAAAAATGTTGGAAAATTTTTTTTTCCACTACTGCCGACAACAGATGTAGTAAAAATAATAGGGTATGGGTGTGCGCGTGGGTGTGGGTGAAGATATTGATGTTCAGTTGGTTCGATGCCACACCCACACCCACACCAACATTCCTTTTTACTCCTGTGATAGACTTCTCTCAAATTCCTTTGTTAATGTCGGCAAGTATTATTTTCTATTTAACTAGTAAAACATGAAAGATAATTTTTGTCATTGTAAATTTTCTTATTGAAAAAAGTTTTCGTTTCATAGTCGGTATCAAAAGAAAGTCGTCATTATGTATTGCGTATCCCATGAAAATGAAATTATCTCGATATGTAATACCTTATTCGTTGAAACCGATGGATAATAATGAATTCCTTGTCGTAAATAAAGACATTGATTTGTAAGTAACAGAAGAAATATCATTCATTGCTTATTGACTAGCTCACAGTACTGGAAGAAAACCATTCCGTTGAAGCGAGAGTGTGGGTGTGGGTAAGGGCGTAAGTCAGGTCTCAGAGCAGCGGGGGGCGTAACTGTAATTGAGGGTGTGGGTATGAGTGTGTATTTTCCTCTTCATCCATACCCACACCCACACCAAATTCTACTCTGGGAAAGATTATGTCAAATATAATATCTTTGATAATTGTTTTATCTTCTTAGTACTATAACAACGAATGTTTAGTCTATGCGATAATGTTGATCCGTTTGTTGCTATCTATCGAGTTGATTCAGTGTCCCGATTGAAAAATACGCCATTTCTATCGTTTCTTTTCAAAAATCTTGTGATATAAATAAGTCAATACTATTATTTGATAGTCAATATCAACCACTGCACGGAACTTTAACTTCACTCTTAGCTATATGGTCTTACGTCTTTTATTTCTTCTTTCATATTTTGTTTGGCGAATTAGTAAAAATGCAAAAAGAAAATAAATTCATTCGTTTGATTTGACCATTGATTTATTTATATCAATGACAGAAACCTCCCTGATTAATTACTGAAAACATTGAATGAACAAAAAAGTTTTTTGTGGATATTTATCAGGGTGACCAGATCAAAAATTGAAAAATCAGAAAATATTTTTTCAAAGTCAGAAAACGATCAGAAACGATCTCTGAAAAATCAGAAATTAATCAGAAAATGGCAGTTTTTGACAAATTAAGTACATCTTCCGCTAAAATACTGACTGGAACTTTATTTTCAAAGATATTTAAATAAAACGAAAGAAGCTATAGTGAATATATCGTTTAGCTAATGAGAAAACATCAATAAAAGATACTTAATGGTGAGCTTCTTTTTAAATTTAAAACTCGTTCACAACAACGAGCAAAACTAAATCACATACATTCTGCGTAGATTAAGAAATCCAACGAGAAAGAAAACGTTAAATTCCATCATCTCAGTATTGTTATTCATATTTCGTATCTTTTGGAATTTGCTGTAGGAAGTTTGTTTACGATAACATATGCTAATAAAAACCTTCTCAAGAATAATTATCAATCACTTTTATTTTAAATTAAGCATTATCTGGTTTTATATTACTGGATTACGATAATCGGACTATAAATGCTTCATATAACCGAAAATCACTTCGATTCCAGAATTCGAACGAGGAATATAAAAGATGATTAATCCAGAAAATTGATGAAACACTACTGATTTGTTATAGTAATGGGTTATAATCGTACCTAATTTCAGTGGCAAAACAGCGATCTGAAAATATTCCAAATTCAGAAAAAAATCAGAAGATCAGAAAAAAATCAGAAACATGTTCAAAATTCAGAAATTTTCCCTAGTTTTCAGAAGATCTGGCCACCCTGATATTTATATACGATGTTGTTCAATAATGGATTTTTTCGGAAACGTAAAAAAAGATTTATTTGATTTTTTGAACAATGATTCAGCAGTTCGATGTCCTGTTACTCTCAACGAAAAGTTATTTAACAATCGAAATTCACGTATCAGTGATCAAGTAAATGAAAAAAAAGAGAATCGAAGCTTGAATAAGAACTTTCTGCTAACGTAGATTGTTTGAGAGAATCATTCAACTTAGGACTTAGAATCCATGGCATTCATTTAACTTCTTCTCCATCTAATAATTCAACAATTGATGCTAACCAATGAAGAAGACTAATCTTATAACTCCATACTATGCAGTGCATTGGTTCTGGGTAAAATGGATATATGAAGGTTTTTTTCTAGGGCTCGATTTCTAGATAATATTAGTCAAGAAGCCTATTATTCTATCGTCATCATTTGACGTTATGATAAATATTATGGTCATGCATAGCATGAGTCACACCACCATAACGCATGAATGTGAATGGGTTACGTATCAAACATATTGATCAACCTTGTATTGAAGGTGGCTCTTTGAATTTCTTTCTGTATTAGTGAAAAGTGTTTTACAATGCAACAACATAATCATCGTTCATAATTATCTTCTGTTTGATAACCACATAGTTACTCCACAGTCATTGCATGAAACAAAGTCTTATCAAACTAGGTAAGGTTTACATAAGAAATGTATAAACTGAGCTTATTTGTCTACTTTAAGGTTTGATCCTGATCGCATTAACGCAAATAATTTTGGCACGTCCCATTGACAACGACACATTGCCTACAAGTTTTGCTTCACCAGTTGAATCAATGAACGATACGGTCACCATAGATTCTACTTTGACGTCTCAATCAGTTAACGACCCTTCTCAGAAAGAATGAATCGAGAAAATCAGCTGCATCTACTTAAATTTTTCTTGAAATTTCTTAATATTTCTAAAGA